CTTATAAAAGTGCATCTGATAGATTGCTTATCTCCATTTCATTTAGCTCTTTTTCTGGAGTTTTGATCTGTTCTTTCATTTGGGACATGTTTCTTTGTCTCCTCATTTTGGCAGCCTCCCTTTGTTTGTTCCTATGTGTTAGGGAGAGCTGATTTGACTTTGTGTCTTGGTAGGGTGGCCTCATGTAGTAGGTGTCCTGTAGGGTCCAGTGGCTCAGCCTCCCCAGTCATTTAAGCTGGGTAGTCAAGGTGCATCTTTTGCGTGGGCTGAGTATACCGCCCTCTTGTAGTTGAGCCTTGATTGCTGTTGGCAGATCCATGGGAGGGATCTACCCAGGCCAGTCAGCTGCAAGGACTGGCTGGGACCACTGACCGCCAGCCTCCGCCCTCTGCAGAGGATCGGCTGCGCAGGGGCAGGGTGGCGGTGCTCTGACGCGGTCTGTAGCTGCTGTGTTGGCTCTGGGGTTTCCCAGGTGGTGCAGGCCAAGGTCGGCTTCTACCAGTGTGTTGCCCGGGACACCCTGCCTGAGCTGTAAAGCAATCTGAGACGGCTGCTGCTCCTGCTGGGCTTGGAGATTCCCAGGTGAAGTCAAGCTGTGATTCTAATCCGATTAACTGAAGCCAGCTGTGGCCTGCGTGAGGGGAAGTGGGAGCCGAGGCCAGCCATTGTTGTGGAAAAGCAGCTGCAGCCGGCCAGCAGTTGGGTGGGGCAGAGCCTCTGCGGGCCTCCAGGGCGGGCCCCGCCGCGGGAGCCAGGTTGACGGAATCTCAGGTATGGCACCAGCTTGCCATCTCTGTGGGGGGAGGGTTTGGAAAAAGGACAATGGCCTCTGCTGGCCTTCATGCCAGACACTTCCGTTTCTCCCAGTAGCTATGGGTGCCCTTCAAGCTGTCACCGCAGTGCTGGAGCCCAGAGGGAGCGCGTCTGAGTAGGGGAGTCCGTGTGGGGGGTCCCCAAGAGGAGCTGCCTGGGGCTCCAGCAGCCTCCTCCACCGACTCAACCCCTGCTGGTTTTCACAGCCAGAAGTTGTGGGGACTTACCTCCCTGGCACTGGAACCCTGGGCCGGGGGGCCTGCTGTGGGGCTGGGGCTCCTCGCGCCTGAGATGTCCCTCCCGAATTTTTATCCACGTGGGTGTGGGGCCAGCCTGTTCCGCGCCCGCACCCCTCCTACCAGTTTGGATGGATGTGGTTTCTTTAGTTCTGTGGTTGTCAGACTTCCATTCAACTCGATTTCTGACGTCCTGAGTGATGGTGGTTCTACATTTTAGCTGTGATTTTGATGTGGTTGTGTGAAGAGGTGAGCCATGTCTGCCTGTGCCACCATCTGGACTGGAAGCCCTGTTATTTTATTTTTAAATCTCTTTTTAATCCTCACCTGAGGATATGATTATTGATTTTAGAGCGAGAGGAAGGTAGGGGAGGGAGAGGGGAGAGAGAGAGAGAGAAACATTGATTGGTTGCCTCCCAAACACACCCCAACTGGGATCGAACCCACAACCTTCTGGTGTACGGGATGACGCTCCAACCAACTGAGCCACCCAGACAGGGCTTATCTGACTGTTTTAATTGAAAGCTCATCTTCGTGATCTGTGAACAATGAAACGCATGGGGCCATTCGCGTGAAAACGTCGCTTTCTAATATTTTTCATGGGTGTTTTCAAAGCAAGAGAAAGATTTATTTTCTGACACTGTGCAGTGCCCACAGCCAGGGCCAGACAGAAAGAAGTGACCTCGCTTGGGCTGTCTGTCGTCTGCACATTGACTTCCTCCTCTTGGCCGGGCTTAGTCCAGACATTTCAACAGCTTGACGAAGCCTCATCGCGACGTAGCTGCCAAATTCAGTGGCTGCCAGTATCCCCAGTAGCTTTTTAAATCCGCGTGTTGCCAGCACTGTGTTTGAGTCTGGTCTTACCCTCGGCGGTTAGGATCTTTTTCAAAGGAGAATTATTTTTAATATTACCTCATCAGCCTTCATCAGGAAAAAATGTTTCCAGCAAGCTTCTCTCCTTACAGAGAAGTTGCATTCATGCTGAACGAGGGCCGGGTTTGCCTATGGATTAAAAAAAAAAAAAAAAAAGGTTTTGGTAATTAATGCTTCCTCTGATTTTTTATTTTTAATTGTGTGGGCCCAGCAAGCTGTGTAATTAACAAAACATGGTGACTTGCTATAAATGGACAGGGTTTTAGTGCAATAATCAAGAGCCATTTACAGCGAAGTTAATCTGATAGTGAATGGTATGTATTGTATTACCTGGCAGTGAGGTAAAGCACTAAATTGCTCCTATAAAAAGAACTATTACTAATGCCTTTTGTGGAGCCAAACAAGCATTTTTGGAGTGAACTTTGTGGGGAGATAACTAGAAAAGAGTTAAAGCTGTACTCGCTGGGACCAAAGGAGTTTCCTTGGCCAGACTTCTGTTTTTCCATTAGCACTTGCTCCAGGCCAGGGGCCAGCGGCTGGGGACAACATTCCCCACCCGCCACACAGGTGATAAAAACGTCACAAAGAGAAAGTTCAGCAGATTCCGTTTTGACAGTCTTCACAACTTCGAAAACACTATCCTACTACTTAGCTGTAACTTTGTGGTCTCTCAAGGTGAAGAATAGGACACGTGTAGATGATTTCAACACGGCGGCCGCCCCGTCGCCGCTGATGGGCAAAGTCTGCGGCCACGAGGGCCGCATGAGCTCACTTTGATCCAGTTGCCTGTTAGTGTTCAGAAAGGGCATGTTTTCCTTACACCAGTGAAACATCTGGTCCAGAGATAAATATGAAGGTTATTTAAACGGGGCTGTCTTATTGGCCCTCTGTTGATCTACATGTTCTAAAGGTACTATAATAGATAAATACTTTGTGTATTAGCTTGAAATGTTTCACCCTGGGGATGCCTGGTTATTTTCCCTGTAGGAAGTGCCTGTGAGGGACGCAGGGGCACTGTTCATATCTGACTGTCCGATTTTGTGTGACCTGATAGATGATCCGGTTCAAAGGCCAGCGTCACCAGCTGCATCCTTGCCTCCTTTCTACCCGCCCCCCCCCCATCTGGGCCACTGGCCCAGTGTCTTAGAAATGCATTTGGAGTCTGACCATTCCCATCACCTCTTCTGTTAGTGCAAGAGCCTAGGTCCTCAGTGTCTTCTACACAACCATCGGAATCGCCTTCCCTTCTAGCACTTTCTGCCCCAGGCTCTTCTCCACGGTACAGCTGTGCTCTCCCCCAGCCAGGCCCTGTTGGGTCCCTCCTGCTATGATTCTCCCTGTCATTCAGAATAACTTCTGAAAGTTTCAAGGTCCTGCATCTGTCCCCTTTCCGTACCCCACCCCCTCTTCTGATGTCACCTGCTAGTGCTCACCCATTGTTCACTGGATTTCAGCTACGCTGACCTCTGTCCTCAATCATTTCTCAAACAAGCCACACCTGCTCCCAGCAGGGTCTGTCCTTTGCTGTAAATGCTCTGCTCCTGGACAGAAAGGGGCTCATTTTCTCGCTGCCTTTAGGTCTCTGCTCAAACATCAGATAAACATTCCAAATGGCATCCTGCCTCTCCAGTCTCCCTACCCTGCTTCATTTCTGTGTGAGTCACCCTCTGACATAGTACGTATTTACAGGCTTATTATCATTCTGTTATTGCCTTTTCTACTGCGGGGGGTGGGGGGGCCCAGTAGGGCAGGCACTGTGTATCTTGTTAGCAGTTGGAACTCATTGATCTGGTGCTTCTTGAGCAACTGGACTCAACATCTCCTCTTGAGATCTTTAACTATTTTCTTTCTAAAATTAAACTTTCCAAACCTCAATTCCATAGTCTTAACCTTTTAAGTGTTTGAGCTGTAGTCTACTCATTCGCGGCTCGGATCCCCTCGGTAGGGAAATCAAACTGGTGAAAAGACCTAGGGTCAATAGCACCTATGGAATCGTGCCCTGTTTCATGTGCGCCCACATTTTTGTGTGCATCATGCACAGGATTATTATACGCATGTATAATGTGCATTCTTATTTTTCCCTCAAAAGTTTGGGTAAAAAAAGTACGCCTGATTCATGGCAAAATACGTGTATATACGTGTAATATATAATGAGTACTTACGTGCTGGGCTCTCGTGCTTACTGAGCACTTTGCATTATCTCAGGTAATCCTCGCCAGATGCTCAGAGATAAGTGTTTATTACTACTGTGGTCTCCTTTTGCACGGTAGTGAGAAGGGAGAGAAGTGAAAGAACTTGCGGCCGGGTCACAGAGTTAACAATCGCTGAGCTGAGATTAGAAATCAAGGCGTGGTTGACTCCACACTGCCTCCTAGCTGTTCCCCCCGCTACTGCGCATCCAGTGATTGAAGCAGGGAAGGGGCTGGAGGCGAAGCCTCCCCTCCGCGGCCCCTGTGCTAGGTTCTGGGCTATGTATGTGCATGTATATTATACTATATATTATGCACAGCCCCCTCCCTAAGAAGGCGGGTACAAGCCAGGTCGTTCACAGCTCTGACACGTCCCAACAGCCCCTGCCCTCCAGGTTGGGACTCCAACGCACGTTCGCTCAACGCACAGGTGGTTGAAACCCTATGGTAAGAGAGGATGGGATCCCAATGCTGCGACCCAGAAGAAAGGGGCCCTCACCCATTTGGTTCACCGCTTGCTAGGGGGGACATTTAAATATAGGTGAACAAAAACCAAGTTGTTCGAAAGCGGGAGGCCCGCCCCTCTGCCCCCCGACTGGGAGGAAAGTTGGCCCAAAGGCTGGGCGCGGGCAGAACGACGCTCCCCGCACCGCCAGGCGCGACAGCTGCAGTGATGTGCCGAGGAGAGGGCTGCCTCGGCTCCGGGGCAAAGCTGCGGGTCTCCCTCTGCTCTGCAGGGCGCTGGGCGGGTGCCAGCGGGGACCACCCGGGAGTCTGCGCTGGGCTGCGGGGTCGGGGTCGGGGGACGGAGGGGGCGTGGCCTGCGCGTGGTGGGCGTGGGCGAAGGACGCCCCGCCCTCTCCTCGGGGATGCCGGGATGTTTACACTCCTGACAGCAGCGTCCACCGGAGGAGGAGCGGGAGTCGCAGGAGGATGGGCTGCCTCTAGGCTCGCGCTCCAGACGCGTCGGGCTGTGAGAGGGTGGGTGGTCGCGCCTGCAGCGTCTGCGGCGGCGGCGCGGCGCGAGGTGGCATTCGGCTCGGGCCCCGCAGTCTCAGCCCCCGGCCCTGCGGGCCTTTCCGCGGCGCCGCCTGGCCGGGCCGCCTGGCCGTCTGCCCCGGGCCCCTCGCAGGCGGGAGAACGGACGACTCCGCACTTCCTGGTGAGTCGCTGCGGGGTCGCGGGCGCGGGGCGGGTGGGGATGGCGAGTCCGGGCCAGGCGGGCGGCCTCCGGGGCCCGCAGTTGGGAGGCCGGGCGGAGCGCGCCTCCCTTGAGCCGGGGGCTCAATCGTGCTTGTGAGCGGTACCGGCGGAGGCTTTGCTCCTGGCACCGGCTCTGGCTCCGGCGGCTGTGGCCGCGGTAACTAAGAAACTGCGCGCCCACGGCGGCGGCGGCGGCAACAGGTCTTCAGTTTCAGGACCTGAGGAACTTGGGTGAAGTCCCGCCTCCTGCCGCCCGGCGGATGCTGATTGGCGGCGCCGGTTATTTTTCCGTCGCTGATTGGTGAGGCCCAGCTGTCAGGATTCGGCCGCAGCCAGACTTGGCAGAGTGAAGTTCAGTGGCAGAGGGTGGCTGGTGGGTTCCCCAGTGGCTTGAGAAACGCGAGATGACCGGCCTGTTGGATAGCGAGTTTCGTGGGACTCCGTGAGGGTGAGGACTGCCAGAGACAGGGATGGCAAGGCCCTAGCCAACATGGGTGGCGATGGTGGCGGCAGAAAAGAACGAAACTGAAAATTAAGGCCGAAGCCAGAGAGACGAAGGGGAGCGCGAAGGAAGGAGGAGGAAAGTGGGAGGACCACGTTGCCCAGGACAGTGCCAGGAAGCGAATGCAGCCCTGAGGATGCAGCAGCCAGGTCGCCCCTTTCCTGCACTCTGTAGGCCTTGGCACATGCTGTGTATCCAGCAAATGAATTGTGACCTCACATGGCTGTTGTCCTTGTTAGGGATAAGTACTAACGATATACTTATTTGACAGTAAGATGTGCCCCCACCCTTGAGCAATGGTGGTGACGGAACTGAAAGTCAGAAACACATTACAGAAATGAAATGATTTCCCTGCTCCTTTGAGACGACCCTCAGGATGCAGTTGGAAAAGAAAAAAAAAAATCAGATGCCCCTAGTTTGTAGAGCATTGTGTACCCGTCGTAATTACAACCGCTGTTTCTAATTCCCCTTCCGAGGAATTCTGAGTTTCAACGAATGTGCACACTCCCGGCAGTTGACAGCAGTGTCGTGCCAGGTTGTACAGGATGCGTGTCGATCGGTCTGTTCAGGAGCTTGAGCCGCTGCGGGTCGGTCGAAGGGTGGCACCGGGCTTGTACTCAGCAAGTGTGTGGCGCGTTTGGACCACCCGACAACCTGGCAGCGGTGAATCATTAACAAGAGGCAATTAGCCCTGTGAGACTGGCTCAGTGTCCCTGGCCGCAGCAGTGGGGAAGGCCGGGTTAACGTAAAACGTCGTTATTTCGTGTCCCGGGGAAGGAGGCTTCTCTTGGCCTCGGGGAGATCTGGGCCACGCTGGTTCACTGCTGAGACCGCAGCATCCTCCGGCCCTGGCCTGGGAGCTGGCTGGGGTCGGGGGAGGGAGGGTGGAGCTTAAAAACTTTGCCTCCGTGAGGAGTCCAAGTGCAGAAACTGGGGGGACGATGGGAGACGGGCCCGAGAAATAAAGGGGTGAAAGACCCTCTCGTGAAGGCTGGTTGATTTCTCCCAGGTTGGGGAAGCCCCGGCACCCAGCCAGCTGCGGGCCCGAGATTCCGCCCTGCCTCGCGGGCCCCGCCCCCTCAGCACTGACGGCCTCCGCAGCCAATGAGTGGCGAGGACGGCGGGTTCCCGCTGGGGGCGGTACTTCCGGCCTCAGGCAGGGCGGAGGGAGCGAGAGGTCCCGCAGGAGGGAACTCTGCGGGAGGTGGGAGGTGGGGCGCAGTGCAGTGGGACTTGGGGCCCACAGCGGGCCTGTGGGATGTAACGTGGACGCGGGGGCGAGGAGGCTCCGATGTCCTCGGGCCCCGCCAGCACGTCCCGTCCCACAGGTAGGCTGCACGCACAGGAAACCGGGCTGGTCAGCAAACTACACGTGGCCCCAGGGACCGACCTGGTTTTCCTCAGCAGTCATCGCACAGGGTCAGAATCCGAATCCTTAGGCACTTCCACAGTGACCTGGGCTTCTTCCCACGGCTCGGTTAACCCGAGCGCAGACAGACCCATCCTGCGATCGGTGTGCCCTGTCCCGCCGGCGCAGGTTCCTGGTGGGCGACCCTCACCCCCTGCGCTCGGACGCGGTGGAGAGGGGCCGGGCCGGCCGAGTCCCCAGCCCAGGGAGCGGAGGTCAGCGTGGCCGGGGCAAGGACCTGAGTGCAATGCCGCGTGAGCTCCTGCTCCCCTCCCCCTCAGTGGACAGTTTGGGGCTCTGATTTATGCCAAACAGTTCATTATTCTTAACTATAGCGCATTTACTGTCGTCCCCCCCACCTTCCATATGTGGCTTGAGGTAGCATTAGAGACATTTACAATGTATCTAGAACCAAACACTGTTTTCCTAGGAACCGGAACTGATGTTTCAAAAAGTATCTGTATTGTATTAGTAATGTAGCCACCGCCATTCAGTGCATCTAAAGAGTGATGATTTAATGCAGTTTTCGAAGAGAAGTTGCTTAATTAGACAATGAATTCCAAAATTTCTTTCAGGTTTTGTTTCCTTTGATTTTTTTTAAAAATAGGATTTGGTATTTTAAAAATGTGCAGTGTAGCTGCGGCTGCACAGAGCAGCACTCTGTCCACGTTCCGGGTGTCATTAAAATTAAAATATTTGTCCCTTCAAATATTTGCTCGTTTAACGTGGTAGGTATTTTAGTACATTATATATAAAACATAATAGCAAACTTAATCTGATGCTTGAGGGTGTCTCAGAAATGACATGTATGATAACTCTTCCGTCTGAATTACTTTATCAGCAATTCATCAGCATTTCTATAAATATATAATAAGATGTTTCAGTGAGTGTTTCTTCACACTTTTAAATGCTTCAGTTTAATTCCTTCTCCCTTATTTTTATAGGGTATATGGGTGAATAACTTTATATAATTGGAATCAAATGTGTTTTATGTGCAGATAGTTGAGAATTTTTAAACTTACAATACATAAAACAAATGTAGGGCCATCCACTCAGAGTTATGAGACTTCTAAATTGCTGACTCCTTTTTTTGTGATTAATAGGTAGATTATTCTTATGTGTTATATATCTTCACCAAGTATTTTTTTCATTCTAAAGGAAGTACTTAGCAACTGTTTCTCATGATTTTTAGTAGCAGTGGGAAGGGGACATTCCTAAACTTGGAGCAGGTGACTTCTTTTTTTAACCTTTGTCAAAATAACAGCTCTGTCATACTATACATATTTTTATAATGAGCTTATACAATAAGCTATTTTGCAATAGTTATATATGCAGAGATAATCAGAATAGTGTATAAATGAACAGAACTTATTTAATTGGTCGATAAAATTTAGAAGTATATGTGTTTTCTGCTACTTAATGGAAATATATCTTTCTGTAAAAGATCTAAATATGGTTCTAGGTCATTGATATTTGGATCAATGTGGATTCTCCACAGCAGTGTTTTATAGCCGATTTTGTTCCTGAGGCAACTTGTGACGATCTCTCAATCTTCTCTAATCACCTCAGAAGAATGCGCAGTTATTCATTCCCAAATTTTGTGTTTTATCTCAGAGATTTCATAAATATATAAACCTCTTTCAGATGTATCCACCTTTGGAGGGTTTCCCGTGGTTCTTCACTGCTGGGAAACCCACCCCGCAGCCACCCGTTGACACTGAGTGAAGGCGCCGCTCGCCAGCCCCCTCCGTGCCAGACCAGGGCAGACCCCGGTGTCAGACCCTTATTTTTTCTTGGTTGGCTGGTAACACTTTAATACAAACGTTTTGGTGTGTTTCTTTGGTAGTTGTCACTTTAAGCTCACAGCAATGACTATTCCTTTCAGGGGGAATTTCTGGTGTGAGCAAGAGGGTGGGCTTTGAAAACAGTGACTTAGTCTTTCCTAAAAGACCCTTTTTCCACTAAAAAAATAGTCCCGTGAAAGGCCCATGTCTGTGGGGCGGGCCTTCGCTCAGGGCGCGCGCCCAGCCTCTGGTCCTCATCTGGCCCTGTGTCCCCTGACTGTCTCCTGCTTGAGGACCTAGGCGTCTGTTGGGACCACCGTTTCCTCGGCTCAGGCAAGGCTGCTGTGAGGGCAGGAGGGAAGCGCCTTTGTTGGGGGGGCGCAGGCTCCCGGGGTGTCAGCGGCGTGTCCTGTGCTGGGCCGCCCTGCCCCTGGCCTGGCCCTGCTCTGCCCTCCTGTTCTCCTTCCACTTCTCTCGCTCCCTCTTCGCTCTGTGATTTCCATATTCGTAAGCGAATGGCTTCCACATCCGAGCCAGGATTTTGGTGATTTCTTTGGTGGGGTGGCAAGGAGAGGCGGTCACCCTCAGTTCCTCAGGCCGGAGAAAACCGCAGACATCTAGGGGTTATATTTTAGACAACAAGCAATGGGAGACTAAAAGACCCTTAAATACTGATTACAAAATAGTTAAATTAAAAATACTGTTTCTCGTATGCTCCTAATGCTGTTATTGTTAAAATGTTTTCCTCATTGTTTCATATTTACCCAGAAAATTGCTCTTAGTTTTGTTACGGTTGTAACCATAACAAGGCCATATTGCCTTTATTATATTTTGAGTGGGAAAAATAAATAGATATGCTTATTAAAAATGGTTATATTTCTGAAATGTAACGCATTGAAAATCTTCCATGAACTCTTTTTTTTTTTTTTTTGAGAGAGAGAGAAGGGGGGAAGGGATGGGGGGGGGAATGTCAGTGCGAGAGAGAAACATTGATCAATTGCCTCCTGTACACACTTGACCAGGACTGAACCTGCAACCTGGGCATGTGCCCCGACCGGCAATCTAACCCGAGACCTTTCACTTTGCCGGATGACGCCCAACCGAGTCCCACCAGCCAGGTCTTCTGTTGCCTTTTCTATCTAACCGCTGGACTCTATATTAAAATAATGTGGTAGGTTTGCATACTGTCATGAAGCCACCCAAAACAGGACAACAGATCATTTATTTGAGGCAAACAGCATGTCCTTACTCTGAAGTTTATTTCT